ACAGTTCTCCAAGGTGGTTTTCATCTACTTATACTCCCACCAGCTGTTTATTTGAGTTCTAGTTGTTCACATCCTCACTCCAGACCTATCCAGTATTTTCCTTATTTTCTATTTTCAGCATTCTAGGGGGAATGTAGTGGTGTTTCATGGAGGTTTTAATTTGCATTTCCCAGATGACATTTTCCAGTTAAGTACCTTTTCATATGTTTGCTGGTTTACATGAATATCTGCTCTTTTGAAGTACCAATTCAAGTCTTTTGCCCATTTTTCTATTGGATTGTCTTCAAAATCTTTTCACACTTTGTGGGTTGTAATTTCACACTCTACAAAGTTTCTTTTTATAAAAAGGACTTTTAAAGCTGTTTAATTCATCAATCTTTTCCTTTTATGTTTGGCATTTTACCTACTCTAAGGTTGAGTCCTCTAAAAGTTTTATTCTTTTACCTTTCATATTCAGACTTCCAATCCACCTGGAATTGATTTTTGTGTGTGGTGTGAGGTAAGGGTCCAGATTAAATTTTTCCCATACTGATAACAAATAACAGCGCTATCTTTTGTACAGAAAGGGATATATACAACTAACTCAGCTAAATGAAGATATTCATTAAAACATCTCACTCCTTTAATTCTTAGATTGTGGAATATCTTTAAATAACTTTTATTCTTTTTTTTTTTTTTTAAATCAGAACAGACTGACTTTCAGAAGGCTACCCTGAGAAAACTACTGATATCAATAAAGTTCTCATAATAATATGGCATTTCCATTGTACATCAGTTTGTCCTGAGGCTGATTCATACTAATTCCTTATGCTTCAACAACTCATGGCAAGTTTCTAAATTTGTACAGTTTGGATCAAACACTGAATCTACAATGACTCCATCAAAGTACTGAAGCTACAGGAAATATTCTAGAAGCAGATGCCTTGCTTCCTCTCTGGTATCTCTCCTAGCTATGGCATTTTGCAAATAAAAAAATGAGACTGTTGCTAAAACAAAATGTTATGATCATTTAAAACTGATCCACAGATGTGAAATGTTCAGTTTATTGACTGATTCACTGATTGACTGAACGAGATGAGGTCTCACCCTGTTGCCTAGGCTGGAGTGCAGTGACATCACAGCTTACTGCAGCATCAACCTCCTGGGCTCAAGTGATCCTCCCATCTAAGCCTCCCAAGTAGCTGGGATCACAGGTATGTACTACAACACCCAGCTAATTAAAAACTTTTTTTTCCCTGTAGAGACTGGGTCTGGCCATGTTGCCCAGGCTGGTCTTAAACTCCTGGGCTCAAGCAGACTGCCTGCCTCAGCTTTCCAAAGTGCTAGGATTACAGGCATGAACCACTGTGCCTGGCAATGTTCCATTTAATTTGGGATTTAAAAAATCCAAGAATTGAGGCTGAGGCAGGAGGACTGCTTTAGCCTAGGAATGCAAGTTCAGCTTTGGAAACATGGCAAGATCACATCTCTACAAAAAAGTAAAAGAATTAGCCATGTGTACATGTGTATTAACATACCTGTATTTCTAGCTACTCAGGAGGCTGAGGTGGGAAGATCACTTGAGCTCAGGAGCTCAAGGCTATTGTGGGCTATGATTGTGCCACTGCACTCCAGCCTGGGCGAAAGAACATTATTCTGTTTCTCAAGAAAAGAAAAATCTAAGTCTTTAGGCAGTAGTTTTAAAAAATAAAAGAAATAGAAACAACTGGAATAAATAACCTATTTTTAGCTTTAGTAAAAGCTAAAAATGGCTTTATTAGCTAGGACTGAGTAATTTTATGAATGAAAAAAAAAAAAAATCAGAAATGCACCCTGGTGGGGTGCCGTGACTCATGCCTGTAATCCCAGCACTTTAGGAGGCCAAGGTGGGTGGATCACCTGAGGCGAGGAGTTCAAGACCAGTCTGGCCAATATGGCAGAACCCCATCTCTACTAAAAATACAAAAATTAGCCGGGCATGGTAGTAGGCACCTGTAATCCTATCTACTCGCCTGTAATCCCAGTTGAGATCAGGAGGCTGAGGCAGGAGAATAACTTGAACCCAGGAGGCAGAGGTTGCAGTGAGCTGAGATTGTGTCATTGCACTCCAGCCTGGACAACCGAGCCAAGACTCTGTCTGAAAAAACAAAACAAAACAAAACAAACAACAACAAAAAACCAAAGAAATGCATCCTTTTCCTTTTTTTTTTTTTTTTTAAAGAGACAGGGTCTCACTACATCACCCAGGCTGGAGTGTAGTGGCTATTCACAGGAAGGACCATAGTGCCTTGTAGCCTTGAACTCCTGGCCTCAAGCAATCTTCCTTCCTCAGTCTCCTGATAGAAATACTTTTTTTTTTTTTTTTTTTGAGACATGGTCTTGCTCTGTTGCCCAGGCTGGAGTGCAGTAGCAGAGTATCAGTTCACTGTAACCTCCCTGTCCCAAGTTCAAGTGATTCTCCTGCCTCAGCTTCCTGAGTAGCTGGGACCGCAGGTGTCTGCCACCACATCCAGCTAATTTTTGTATTTTTAGTAGAGACAGGGAGAACTCCAGGCCTAAAGTGATCTGCCGGCCTTGGCTTCCCCAAGTGCTGGGATTACAAGTGTGAGCCACCACACTAGGCCCATTATTTTTATATGTCGTAAAATGTTGCAGCTTATACTTAAATTCACTAATTATAATGCCAACTCATGGAGTGATATACTTAGATAATAGAGATCTTTAGAAACAAATATGAAGAGAAATTAATAAATTAAATAAATGAAGGCAAATTCCTATGTAACTCATAAAAATGGTTTTTGCTCTTCCCTTGCCCCTTGAAGCCCACTGCCATGGGAGCTATTGTTTTAAAAATCTGAGCTCTAAATAAATTAGTTTACAAGAAGAGTGAAGGAAAGACACTATTAAGTTTAAGTGGGGCTGATTCAGGTTGAAAAACAACAGGCTTGCTTAACTGGTATCACTTTTGTCCAAAAACATTTCCTCGTTTACTGCCTATTTATACTTTATATAACTGCATCTGAAATTAATTTGGTTTAGCAGGCACCTGCTTTCAAATACAAGATTATCTGTGATTTATAAACTTTTACTTGATACTTGCTTTCACTGTATATCCTTTTGTACCATTTGAATTTTTTACTATGTACATGTATTTCATATATTTAAAAAACATTAAATAAGTTAAACAAAAAAGAATGCTTTCCTGTTAATATCTAGTTGAAATCAGTTCACTGAGGAAACAAAAGCTTTGATTAGGAGTAGGAAGAAATAATTTACAACAAAAATATTTGTGGGGCAGAAAAGACTGAAACATGCAAATATTTGGAGCTGGAGGAGCAGCATGAACAGCTACTTAAAACAAATAAAGGACAGATGTAGGAGATGCCAAACAATGAGGCTTCTTTGAAAAACTCTTCTCTTTGTCCCTAAGGTATTTTAAATGGCACTCAGTTTCCATTTTAATCTGGACTACTACCAACACTACCGTTCAGCTATGTTATCAAATAAATAGATCTGTGCCCTGACTTGGGGCTATAACCACAGATTATAACACTACTTGCATGGAAAATGTATTCTGAGTTCCATGTAAATTATTCCAAAAACATCTGTAAACATAACCCATTTCTAAATTGAGGAAGGTATACTAACTTACAACATAAGATCATAAACTCCCAGGCGGCAGGCAGTGGCTCACACCTGTAATCTCAGCACTTTGGGAGGCCTGGGTGAGTGGATAGATTGAGCCCAGGAGTTCAATACTAGCATGGGTAACATGGCAAAACCTTGTCTCTGCAAAAACTCCAAAAATTAGTAGGGCATGGTGGCATGCATCTGTAGTCTCAGCCACACAGGAAGCTGAGGCGGGAGGATCGCTTGAGCCCAGGAGGTTTAGGCTGCACTGAATGGTGATCACACCATTGTGCTCCAGGCTGGGCAACAGAGTGAAACCCTGTCTCAGGGTGGGGGGAAGAAAAAAAAGATCACAAGCTCCCAATGGGGAGAAATTTCATTTTCCTTATCTTTACTCTTTAGTGTCAATGATAGGGTGTGGTACATAGAAGAAGATACACTGAAATGGTAAATGAGACAAACATATGCACTACTTTGAAAATTTAACCCCCGTTCTGCTTAGTTCAATTCTTCCAGGAAGAAGACACAAATACAGTTGTCCCTCAACATCTGTGGAGAATTGGTTCCAGGAGTCCTACAGATACCAAAATCCATGGAGGTTCAAGTCCCCCATATAAAATGGTATAGTATTTGCATATAACCTATGCATATCCTCCCATATACTTTAATCATCTCTAGATTACTTATAATACCTAACACAATGTAAATGCTATATAAATAGTTGTTATACTGTATTGGTTTAGGAAAGTGACAAGAAAAAAAGTTTGTATATGTTTAGTACAGATGCAACCGTTCATTTTTTTCTCGAGATATTTTCAATCTGTGATTTGTTGAATCCACAAATGTGGAACACACAGATATGGAGAGCCATCTGTATTCTTCCCAGGCTTTGCCTATGCAGACAGCAGCTTTCTGCAGATAATGTCTAAATTCAAAGGCACCACCAGCAGGACAATATGAAAATGATTGGTTGCTGGTGTGTAGGCCTTCCAGATTCTTCTAGATCTCTTACTCTGCTGATTTCACTGTTTCTAGTCCCATCTTGAACCAGCTATTTATTAGACATTTTGTTCCTAAACCATGTATTATTTCTCCATCTGTGTAAATATGAAATAAGTGGCTTCCTCAATTTTATCCTGAGCTGGTCTATTATGTATAGACTGGGAGAACTAGGCTCAATGAGTATTAAAATTAAGGTATCATATATAACCATTATAGAATATCACAAATCACATCACAACTAAGGTATTTGACCTCTTTAAGAAATAATATTTCAGGTTACATATAAACTATTAATTTCTACAAACAAATGCTTTTAAATGGTCACTTTAACAAACGTTAACATCTTCCTGCAAGACACATGTATATAATTTCAAAAATAACAAACTTACTCATCATTGTCTTTTGTTGTAGATTCTGTGCTTTCAGTTAAACTGGGGTGATTCAATTTTTTTCTCTTTTCTATATATGTATAATAAAGAAAAGGATATAAAGTTAAAGGAGAAATCATTAAATTTTAAATCAAATTTAGATTGTCAAATTTACTTTAAATAGAAAGTAAAAAGGTTAAAATAAAGGTTAAAATAAAACTACAAATGGAAGGGAGGTAGAAAAGAAAAAGTATCCTATTTTGGTTTTTTCATTTCCCATTTTCCTAATTTCTTATTCACAATACCATATAAAAATAATCTTTAATAAAAAATTTCCATTGAAGGTTGGTATATTAAAGAGAAATCCAATATGATTCCATAATTAGGTTAAAATGCACTAGTAAACTTTATTAAATAAAGGATACTTTCATCAAATATTTTAATCAAAGATATCATATTAAGGCTTCTGGTTTGCATTATTTCACAACTTATTTTTTTTGCTCAAGTTAACAATGAAGGATTGGTGATACTGATAATCAGAAAATAGTTAAGTTCCTTATAATATCATTGTAAAATAAACTTGACTTTAGAGGTAAAAATATCTTTAATTTTATTTTAAATTAACCCTATATATTTATAGTGTATAACATGTTCTGAAATATGTTTATATATTGTGAAATGGCTAAACCAAACTAGTTAACATACCTATTTCCTTACATGCTTATTTTTTTGTGGTATGAACACTGAAAGTCTATTCTCTTAGCAATCTTCAAGTATATGTTATTAATCATAGTCAATTATACAATAATTGAACTTGTTCCTTCTGTGTAGCTGAATTTTTTATCATTTGGCCAACATGTTCCCAATCACTCTGCCCTCCCCACCAGTAGACCCTGGTAAGCACCATTCTATTTTCTATTCTATGATTTTGACTTTTTTAGATTCCACTTAAAAGTGAGATCATGTGGTATTTGTCTTTCTGTGCCTGGCTTATTTCCTTAACATAATAGCCTCCAGATTCATTCATGTCCCAAATGGCAGGATTCCCCTCTTTCTAAAGGTTAAGAGCATTCCATTGTGTATATATACCATATTTTTTAAATCCATTCATCTGTTCATGGGCACATAGGTTGATTTAGTATCTTAGCTATTGTAAAGAATGTTGCTATGAACATGGGAGGGCAGGTATCTCTCTGACATACTGATTTTATATCCTTTGAATATATACCCAGTAGTGGGATTGCTGGGTCATACGGTAGTTTTATTTTAATTTATTGAGGATATGAATCTTTAAATGCATATTTACTTAGCAACTCCTTGGAAAGATCTAAGTATAGCATTCATTATTTAAGATAACAATAAGATAAATAAATGGTTATATTCCATTTAAAATGCTATGTAGTTATCTAAGGTCATGGCTCATCTAAACTTTTACAAGTTTTACAAGTTGACAGAGGCATACATGAAGACATAGGATATAACTAAGTCATAATCCTTCATATGCCCAGTGGGTTGAAATGTAAGTTTGATTTTATAGCTTTAGTAGAACATAATGTTTGTAGTTATTAATGATCAAGCAGATCATTGTTTTTGAGCTATTTAGTTGTTTGTTCTAGAGTACTTTATACTACCATATATACTACGTATTTTAAACACATTTGATATATAATAAGCAAGTATATGAGGACACATAACAGTACAGTTAAGATTTTCAGTGTCTTGTATATACTGGCTTTTGATGTTTATTGAATGAATAAACAAGCAAATGAATGAATAACCCAAACTGTTTACCACTAATGAAAAACAGTCAACAGAAACTCAATTTCATTGAGTCCACTCATTCAGAAATTAACAATAATTTCTCTCATTGTTACTTTGGACCTCTGTCTTCGTTCCTCAGAAAAATAAAATCCTCTCATAATTAAATTGTTACTTCAAAATGTTCTCTAGTGGCAAAAGAAGAAAAACTTACAAGGCAGGAATTTTGTTAAAGCACTACTTATTTCTCCTGTTTATGAACTATGCATTATTTGACAAGTCTGTATCTTTAAGTTCCAAACAGAATAAATTAACATGGTTAAAAGTTTAGTAAAGAATATAAGGGGAAAATGTTAACAATATTTTGATTTTAGAGAACTTTGGAGTAATAAATTAAGATTTGTCTCTGAAAAATATTAAGCTGAAAATGAATGTTTTGTGAAAAACCACAAATGAAAACCCAAGTTATACCTTAAATCTTTACTTAAAAAAAAATTTGCCTAAAGGTCAATACTAATTTCCTGAATTTTGTACTATGCTGTTTGCATTCCGTAAAGCTCCAAAATTAAGTATTAAAATTACTTTCCTCCTTTAATTTGTAATTCATTTTCACATTTCAGCACTAATAGCAAAAAATGTTGAGTAAGAAATAGTAAAGAATGTTTTATTTGAATTTTCACTAGGTATTCAATGCCTTTCTAAATATTTTTATTATAAGAGAGCTAGTCAAATATCTCACCCTGTAAAAATGTGGATCAATAGTATTAATCTCAGTCTTCTCATGGAAGGACTTACGATTTTAAATAATTTTCAGCTGTTAAATATGAAGTTTTAATATTTTTAAGAGTACTATTTAGATGAATCTGTTATCAGACTGTTGAGTAATACAACATATTGAGTAGTAAATGAGTTTTCCAGTTACTTAATAATTACTGTCCTTTCTTTCATTACATTCTAGTAAAAAAAGCTAGCACAATGAACGTACACAAAAGGACTGTGGAGTCTATATGGTATTTCTCTTGTGAGGTTATATGTAAAAGTGAACAAACAGTTGTGTATTTGACTCTTTTCAAGTGCAGTTTCACAAACTATTGGTGATAAATGCACCATCACTGAATCTGAACTACCTTCAGAATTGTATTTGAGCTTTCCGGTAAGACTCCAGGGACCTCTTTCCCTAACAAATGAAGATAGCTTTCAACAAATTGTTAACACTTGGAAGCACAATCAGTAGTGATGACAATGGCTAACACATGGTATTAATTTGGGCCAGGCACTGCTTTAAATCTGTTACATGTGATACCTAATTAACTTGCACAAATCTGACACAGTCACTCCTGTTTCCACTTTACAGATGAGGAAATAGAAGTACAGAATGGTTACATAACTTATCCCAGCCCATAAAGTTAGTGAATGAGGACTGAAATCCAGACATTTAGCTGAAGACTGTACTCTTAACCATGATGCAGAGCTTATTAAGAGATTAATGTAAAGTCCAAACAGGTTTAGGCTGGTATCATGCTGCTTCTACTTCTAGGTACCCATACTTTATAGGTGATAAATATTATAGGCAATCATTTTGGTCTCAAACCAAAAGTTAAGAGTTGAGGAAAACCTTGATCCACAGAGGTTCAAGTGATTTGTCTATGGTGGTCACATATAAGTTAGTAGCTTCATTCTAAAAGGGTTACTTGTAGATCAAGTTGAGTCCTGTTGGCAAAGAGGTGAATGAGATACTGATATGGTCTTGCTATTCTTTTAATAAACCAAGTTAATTTTAATCAACTAGAGTGGAGGGTAAATAACCTCTTTAGAGGATCAACTCCCAAAAATAACAGTGTTAATGATTTTTTTTTTTTTTTTGAGACAGAGTCTCACTTTGCCAGCCCAGCCTGGAGTGCAGTGGCGCGATCTCTGCTCACTGCAACCTCCGCCTCCCGGGTTCAAGCAATTCTGCTGCCTCAGCCTCCCAAGTAGCTGGAACTACAGGTATGCATCAGCACACCTGGCTAATTTTTGTATTTTTGGTAGAGACTGGGTTTCACCATGTTGGCCAGGCTGATCTTGAACTCCTGACCTCAGGTGATCCACCAGCCTCAGCCTCCCAAAGTGTTGCGATTATAGGCATGAGCCACTGCATATGGCCAAATAGTTCTTTTTTACTCAAAATGAAAATACCTTTATTAAGTTCCATGGATAGAAATGTAATAATATTATTAAAACATTACTTACATTATTGAATAGAAGGGTATTGCTGAGAAAACTGAAATCACTTTTTATCTACTAAAACAGTAATATGTGGGAAGCAGTAACAAAAATATAGGTTTTTACATCTTTCTTTCAGGTTACTTTGTGTTGATTGGGTACTTGACAGTCTAGTCTGATAACGGATCTAAGTGTTATTCTTGGAAATATTAAAACTTGTCATATTAAATAGCTGAAAAGTATTTAAGCATAAGTCCTTCCATGAAAAGATTGAGATTAGTATTACTGATCTACATTTTACAGGGTGAGATGTTCGACTAGTTCTTTTATAATAAAAATGTTTAGCATTTGACCCACACCTCAGGTTGCTCATAACAGATTTAAGAAGATAGTTAATTAGCTCTTTTGGAATACATATTGTTTGTTCTTTCTGCTACTTGAAAAAAAAAAAAAAAAAAAAAAAACAGTCTTGCCAGAGGACTAACATTTCATTAGACTTTTCAAAGAACCAGCTTTTGATCTGTTGCTTTTCTTTTTTTAATTATACTTTAAGTTCTGGGGTACATGTGCAGAACGTGCAGGTTTGTTAAACAGGTATACATGTGCCATGGTGGTGGTTTGCTGCATCCATTGCCCTGTCATCTCATTAGGTATTTCTCCTAATGCTATCCCTCCCCAATATCCCTATCCCCTGCCATCCCTCCTCTAGTCCCCCAGGCCCCGGTGTGTGATATTCCCCTCCCTGAGTCCGTGTGTTCTCACTGTTCAACACCCACTAGAGTGAGAACATGCGGTGTTTGGTTTTCTCTTCTTGTGTCAGTTTGCTGAGAATGATGCTTTTCTTTATTATTGGCCTGTTTTCAGCTTATAATTTCTCTTCATATCATTATTTCCTTTCTACTTTGGGGGGTTCATTCTGTTGTTCCTTTTTAATCATTCTGAGTTGAATGCTTGGCTCAACAGTTTTCAATCATTCTTCCTTTTTAAATACTAGTCATGAGCAGTGTAAGAACATTTTGGTCAATGACAAATCACATATATGACCGTGGTCCCATAAGATTATAACACCGTATTTCTACTGTACCTTTTCTATTCAGATATATTTAAGTGTACAAATATCATTACGTT